GAGTTAGTGCCGTTTTTCTGGTCACTTTTATTAAAATGTCTAGCATGAGTAATTTTACATCACACTACCGTTTGCGCTCTTTACGAAACTTCTTCGTTCAAATCTATTTCCCTGTCAATGTTCCCATCTTCATTAAAAGGCGTAAGATGACAAAAACAAGATCTTGAAGAATTTATCAATAATGTGCCTTTGTTATGGTAGGTAATTCGAAGAAAAAATAATGTGTTACTGTTTCTTATTTGTAGAAGGTTTAAGAGGATGGACCACAACATAATGAACTAATTGATTACAATATCTGAAAATTCTGACTTCACTTTTTTGAAAAATGAATTGGTCTTTCCTTTTACTCCTGATCAACAATCAAATATCTTTTCTTGAATTATGAATAACACAAATGGATTGAAATATTTAATTAAATTAGCTCAAAATAAACCTTAATTTTGGTGCAATATTGAAATTAGTTTGAATTCTTCATAACCTCTGAATAGTGGGTGACCCAATTGGCCACGGGTTGTCTAATTTTCTCTAAAGTTTAGATATGCTGTACAAAATTCACATCGCCCTTCCTTTTCATGTAATGTTTTATAAACATTTTTTGTAGCTTACTAATATATACATACACACACACATATTGTATCTGTTGCTTTAAGGTTTTTTATTATGATTATCTTGTCTGTTTTTCTGGTAATTGCAATTAAAATGAGCATAGGCATAAATGTTCCAGAGTTTGTAGAATCTGATATGCATATAGAGTAGGTTACCTTTCTAAAACAGTGGGTTAAGCTGTAGTTTTCAAGATACTCTGTTGATATGCATTTGTGCACCTCACTTGTTAGTGGAAACATTGGTATTAGGGAAAATTGCAAAATTTGAGAATGAAAGAAGCAGGTTGAGTGAGTAACTTATGGAAGTAAAAAACAATTAGATAATTTCAAAATCAAAACTGATGTTTAAAGAGTACAGAAGGAAAACAGTTTACACAGCTAAACAATGGAAAAAGGATTAAAAAAAGATGTTTAGATCAGGCAAAAGTAATATCATCAAAAAGATTTGAACCTCTTTGTTGATGAGGGCAGCAGAGGAAAGGATCCTGAAGTGTTTGCAGTGGAGTTTAATTTTATAACATATACTGAAACATTTCTTTTTAACTGCATACAGAGATAATCATGGACTAGAATTTGCTTGACAGATACCATTTAGAATGTTGTACAGTAAAAAGGTGTATTAACGGCAACACGGCTTACAAAATTGCTCACCCAACAGCCACAGAAAACCACAAAATCTTTTGGACAAATTTTTTTTTGGCTACTAACCTGATGGGCAATCACATAAGGTTTGTGCTGTAATCAAACTGCTCTTTCTCAATCCAGATCCCACTCACAGCTCATTCCAGTAAAACACAACATTGCCACCAAGTTTAAAGGGATCAGTGTTTTTCATCTATAGCATGTGTGGGTAACTTTAAGGGGTAACAACTCACATACTCTATTTCCCTGTTTCTCTCAGCAACATATCATCAAACACTGTTAGCCAATCAGCAATTATGAGCCTCTGTTCTGCATGAGGGAAGAGGAGGCTGTACCTGGAAATAAATTACCTTTCCCACTGCACAAGGAGGCACATGATAAAAAACAAATACACAAAAAAAAGGAAGCACTCTTTCTTGTCATTGTGGATGACAGAATTATTTTGGCTCACACGACAGTGAGAAGAATGAAATGTCCAGGCAGCTTTGTCAGAAGTTCATTCAAATCACAGATGGTGGAAGTCCTTTCATCAAGAGTGCTCATACATTCAGTAAAGACCCCATAAAAATTTAAGGACACTTACATCAGTGACCATGCCTGCAACAACTTTACTGATACAATTATTCACAACAAGAAAATTCGACAAAGATTTAACAGAACAGAGCAGATTTGTGTCAGTTTGAACCGACGTAAGCACTTTACTCCAGTATTATTGAACATGAAATAGTCTACAGTAGGTTTGTACAAAATAATGTAGCAACCACAATAAATGTAACATATTTTAAACATGTAGACACAGCTGGTGTTTTAAGAGCAACAGATGAAACATTTAACAGTGTAGAGATTAACTAAAAAGTGTAGAACACAGTTGTCTAGAGATTCCATTATGATGGGACAGAAACTAGATGATGGCAAACTTGAAAGTACTTACCACTCACAGGCTTAATGCATTACATAGCTCACAGTCTGGAAGTTATTTTCTTAAATCAAAAATGTATTTCCAATAATACTTACCTCCGCTCATACTTATAGCTATTATTCGACTGCAGGGATTCTTCCTTTGACAATTTAAACATGAGTTAGTCTGATTTTTTCTCTCTTGCTCCAGTCTTTTATACCTCACTTAATTGCCCTTGGCAATATTTGTCTCATGACACTCTTTCCCTACGTCAATGCACCCTCTATCCTGGTACTGTATATAAGCACCTCATTCAGATAATGTTATCTCTTTTTCAGGACTGACTCAATCCTAGTGTCTAACACCGGCTCTTGGTGGGGAGAAAGGGTGGGAAAGTAGGTAAATATTATTGGAAATATATTTTTGGTTTAAGAAAATGATAACTCCAAAATATTCTTACCTCTTCTCACACTTATAGCTAGAATCCCAGATTGATAAGGTGGAGGGTTCATACAGAAAGCACCTGCATATATCATGGGTGTGTCAATAGAAGATTGGCATCCTACTCAGGGAACCACACTATAACCAGAACATAATTCCAGGTTTGTGGGTGGAATTTTACATGATTTATCATCCCTATAAGCCACAACCAGATAGCCAAGGTCCCACTGCTCTGGGTTGAAAGTATAGGGCCATGGTTCCTATATTCCACATTTGTGGTTATGGCAATTGGATCACAACATATACTTATGAGTGCATCCCAACCTGTAACAATAGACTGATGAATTTCAAGCCACCAGATTTATGACAAGAAGGTAAGCAACATAGGAATGGACAAACTTTCTCCTCTCCCCACTTCACCCTCTTCTCCAACAATGGAGAAATTCACTCTAACACTCTGGAATAAAAGCCTCTGTCCACCACCCCAGTGACTGGAAACAAGGTGTGGCAAGGACTCCCTAGCTCCACTAGTAGAATCTTGGGGGTAATGCACATTGGGGAGCCCTGAGGAACAGTGCAATAGGTGAACAAATTTCCCTAAATCTTTAAAAGCAAACTGACCCCAATTTATTCAATCCAATGATCAGCAGGGACAGGCAGGATCCCCTTATGCTTTACTCAAAATAGTCCAAGAGTGGCAGTCCAGCATATTATAGTAATACCACCCGGTCAGCCTCTAGGTGGTCTTATGGAACACCTCATTTATACAGAGCCTGTTGCAACCTAACAAAAGAATACTGAATTACCGTTTGCTAGTGTGGAATTGGTTTTATAAAAGCACACCTGCCTAGGCAACACTCACCACAGAGTGAGATCCTGTGAAAATGAGGTAAGGGACCCTGAAAGGTAGCAGTGAAAATACTCACCCCTCTCTATAGTCTAGA